GTCCAACGAAGAAGCTAAAGGAAACTGTTCCTTTAGAAAAATGGACTGGAGACAAGCAAAGTGTTAGCCATCTGAAGGTATTTGGTTCTGTGTGCTACAAACACATTCCAGAGGCTAGAAGACGAAAACTGGATGATAGAAGCAAAATAATGTTACTGGTGGGGTACCACAGTACAGGTGCCTACAAGCTTTATTGTCCAGAAACCAACAAAGTTGAAATCAGCAGAGACGTCGTTGTGAAAGAGTCAGAAACATGGGATTGGAACAAGCTTCAATCAGATTCTGGTGTAGTGCCAACACCAGGGTTAGTTTCTGAAGACGAGTCAGAGTCAGAAGAAGAAGACTCTGAAGATGAGTCAGAATCTCAGGGAGATTCTGATAGTGGATCTGATTCTGATCCAGATTCTGATGATGATCCATATTCTGGTGGTGATTATACTTCTGGAAGGGAAAACTCTGAAGACATGGGGTCTGGAGAACAAGTTTCCAGAAGTAACTCTGAAGGTGGTAACTCTGAAGGAAGTAGTTCTGGACAAGGTTCAGAAGCTAGTATTGTTCCGAATTCTGGAGAAGCTTCAGAACAAGATCAGAGGCCACAGAGAATCAGGCGAATACCAAGTAAGTTTGCAGATTTTAGCATGTTACATGATACTGAAATAGATTCTGAAGGAGAAATCGTTCAGTGTGCCATGCTAGTAGATTCTGAACTAGTGGGTATTGAAGAAGCGCTCAAGAAGAAAGTATGGCTGCATGCCATGAACGAAGAACTTGAGGCTATTGAAAGAAACAAGACTTGGAAGCTGACAGAACTTCCAAAAGGCAAGAAAGCCATCAGCGTCAGATGGGTTTTCAAGCAGAAGCTAAAGCCAGATGGATCAATTGGGAAACACAAAGCGAGACTAGTGGCCAGAGGTTTTCTTCAGAAACCTGGACTAGATTACTTTGAGGTATTTGCGCCTGTAGCTAGACACGAAACAATCAGACTGGTGATTGCCTTAGCTGCAAACAGAAATTGGCCTTTGATACATCTGGATGTGAAGTCTGCATTTCTGAACGGTCCATTACAGGAAGAAGTTTATGTGTCACAACCTCCTGGATTTGTGAAAAAGAATCAGGAAGGGATGGTATACAGGTTAAATAAAGCTATGTATGGACTGAAGCAAGCGCCCAGAGCTTGGAATCTTAAGATTGATTCGTTTTTCAAGGAACAAGGGTTTCAGAAGTGTGAGATGGAGTATGGTGTTTACGTTCAGCATACTTCAGAAGGTAATATGATTCTGGTCTGTTTGTATGTTGATGACATATTACTCACAGGAAGTTCTGAACAAGAAACAGTTGAGTTCAAGAAAGTTCTGATGGATGAGTTTGAGATGACAGATCTTGGAAAAATGAGTTTCTTTCTAGGGATGGAACTTATATACTCTGAGAAAGGAATCATTTTGCATCAGAAGAAGTATGAACTAGAGCTTCTGAAGAGATTTGAGCTAGCAAATTGCAAAGTTGCTATCACACCTACTGATACGAATCAAAAGTTGGACTCTGATTCTGATGGAGAGGGTGTGGACGCTACAACCTTCAAACAGATGGTTGGTTCACTGAGGTATTTATGTAATACCAGACCTGACATTTGTTATGCAGTTGGAATGGTCAGTAGATACATGAGCAAATCAAAGTGGTCTCATTACCAAGCTGCTGTCAGGATTCTGAGGTACATAAAAGGAACTCTGAAATATGGAGTGCTATTTCCTTCTGGAGGAAAGATCAAATCAGAACTTATGAGTTATTCTGATTCTGATTGGTGTGGAGACAGAGTTGACAGAAGAAGCACTTCTGGATACTTATTCAAGTTTCTGGGAGGTCCAATTTCTTGGTGTTCCAAGAAACAGCCTGTTGTGGCTCTGTCAACATGTGAAGCTGAATACATTGCTGGTGCTGTAGCTGCCTGTCAAGCAGTTTGGCTTCTGAATCTGCTGCATGATCTGAAGGTTGAAGTTGAGGAACCTCTGAAGCTGATGATTGATAACAAGTCTGCAATTAATCTTGCAAAGAATCCAGTTCTACATGGCAGAAGCAAGCACATTAAGACGAAGTATCACTTTCTCAGAAGTCAAGTGCAGAAAGGAGTGTTAGAAGTTCTGCACTGTAGCACTCAGAAGCAGCTGGCAGATGTTCTGACGAAGGCAATAAAAACAGACCAATTTCTGCGCTTGAGAGATGAAATTGGTTTTGTTAACTTCTGATAAATTACTAAATTACGGGATGGTATTAGAGGGTAATTTAGTATTTTGTTATTTGTAGATAAGTATTGATTAGGGCCTATGTGGCATTCTTATTTGTGTATAAATAGGTGTACTAGGTTTACATTTATATCAATCAATTCTTCAATCATTTGCTGTCAGCTTTTTAGGCATTTATTCCTTCCTTCTTCTTCCTCAAATTCATCACCTTGCACTAACACAAGGAGCCAATGACATGCTGAATAACTTCTAAAACACGGTGCAGCAACAAAATTCTCAGGCATTGGCAGAAAGAAGTACAAGAAGCAACGTTGCGAAAGAACCAAGCCTCCATCCCTGAGCCAGTACGAATCCAACCGGCAACAAGTCATCGATCCGCAAACAACATCACAAGTACATAAAAATGTCATAACTTGACCCATAGGTTGCCAGTTGCAGAACGAATGAGCTTAGCTTTGTGGTGACTTGAGCTGCAAACAATAGATTTAACCGATATTATCAATAGCCTACTTCAATTATATGAACTGAAGGCATAAGGCTATGTTGCAACGTTGAAAGATATTATCATTAACCTAATTCAATTCTGTGAAGGCATAAGACTATGTTGCTGTAACTTACAAACTTCTGAATATTCTGGGACATGAAAACGGCAGGGAGTAGACATGTGTTTCAACTATCATAGGGATAAATATGTTCTTAATGAGTGAAAATGGGCTTCAGGAGAATGGTTAAGATAATAGGTTGAGAAATCTTTGAAATATTGTTGTGTAATTTTTTATGACGTAGTTGGATGCATTCATCTTCTTCAATGGTATGATCAACTTCCTAATATTCTTCTTCATCTTATTTGTATATAATAGCAAGCAATTCATGCTTCGTTCAAAAAAATAATACAGCACATGAACCTAACCTCATCATAAACTTCTTTAATTACTATGTTTCTAATATAAAATAGAAAGTGTTGTTTTGGTTCAGAGATATCAATTGGCTGACATGTTCTACTGTTGAGGAGTTAAATAGTTTAAAGTAAATTATATACAATTTTTACTATAATATAATAAATAATAATCGATTGTGTGTGCATGAATGACATGTAACCTGAGAAGTATGAGTGTTATGTGTCAGCCGAGGAGACAAATTAATTGATGATTAATGTTGTTTTCTGATTGCCAACACTAGAAAGACATGAGTATCTTTGCAGAATATCACATGCAATACTATTAACAAATTCACAATGTTGGGTTGACATGTGACAAGTTATCATATTGTTCCTGACCATCTACATAACTCAAAGAGCGAAGGTCTAACAAAGAAGTAACGGAACATCTTGTACAGTACAGATAGACTCCTTTATCCACTACACAGACAATTCTTTCTGCGAGGACTTTGCCAACTGCCAGATCAATCTGACGGATGGCCGCAATCCACACCTTGTCATGTACATTCAGTTTCCAACCGTTTATGCTATTTAAAGAAGGAAGCGCGTCATTTCTCATGTGTTCAAATCCTCTCTCATTCAAATCTCCTCCGCCAGAAATCCAGATCTCCTCTCCCTCAAAGTTGAGATCTTTATTTTCCGATCACTTCTCTCAAATTTGAACTTCTTCCCCTTCTTATCTTCCATCAGATCCATCGACTATGACAGCATCCATAGCTACTCTCTCCTACGTCCAACGGCAAGCCGTTGTTGCCGCTGAGACTTCCAAAAATCCTCCATCTCCGCCTTAAGAGAAAAATGATGAAGTCCTAGTAGCTTCTCCATTTGTTTCTTCTTCACATGAAGATCATGTACAACCGGGGACGGGACATGGAGCATTTCAACCTCTTCCATTCCTCGGCTCTGGTCCACAATTCCACTAGGGAGAACCTTGGCTCGGACCTCCACTACTGCTTGTGATGCCGGGGCAAGACATGCTTCCTGATTTTCAACTGGTGCAGGCTAATATTGGCGCGCAAGGAGCCAATGACATGCTGAATAACTTCTAAAACATGGTGCAGCAACAAAATTCTCAGGCATTGGCAGAAAGAAGTACAAGAAGCAACGTCGCGAAAGAACCAAGCCTCCATCCCTGAGCCAGTACCAATCCAGCCGGCAACAAGTCATCGATCCGCCAACAACATCACAAGTACATGATTCCTTCCCCTGATTCAGAAGGGGGAAGAGGTAGTTATACTCCTCCAGAAGCTTGCCTCCCTCAAATGAGAAAAAGATATCAAGAAGCTGCTCCAACGTTCATTTATTATATAGAACAAAGTAGATATTAAGCGTAAATTCGAAAATAATAACTATAGTACTTCAGGTTGATACAGAGTAAAAGTCCACAAAAATGCATCTGATTCTGATAATTCTAAGATACACCAATTAATTTGAGTGAAATGTATTAGTCTCAGAGATATAGCTCAGTAGCATTTTATATGTAAGTATAAGAATTCAGTTCCACGAGTTAGTTAAGAACAAGCTTGTAGACAAACACTTTCTTCAGTTGTAATATGCATTCTGAAAATTAGAATACATAATCCGATCTTCAATGTCAATTTCTCTCTCGCATTCTTTTTTATTTGATCCTCTCTATGGTTCAGTTTCATTCACTAATATGGTATAAGAGCTCAGAAGAGCACTGAGCTACTCATTCTTCACCATGCCTCCAGGAGCTGCGCTTGTTAATGCCAGAAATCAAAATATTCAACATACTGATCCTACAAGAAATCCATAATACAAGCATCCTGTTATAAGTACTTCAGCCCCTCTTGTCACTTGTCTTCTCAATGGTAAGAAATACCATTCCTGGTCGCATTCATGAGGCGTGTGATAATCATGAAGAATTAAATTAGGTTTTTGGACTATAATCATGAAGAACAAAATTAGGTTTTTGGACTAATTTGTGTCGTTAGTGCATACCTGGATCGAAAATTCAGTCTCTCTATCTTATCGTGAAGCGTGTGATCTATATGGATATTGCTGCAGCGGCTTGCAAGGATCTTGAGACGCAATTCTCGCAAGGAGACTATGTTCGCATTACTGAATAGCAGAAAGATTAGGCAAAGCTTTAAAATAATTTATCGGTTACTAACTATTTTACAGAAATGTATTTGACAAAGCTTCAAAAAAATTTATCGGTTACTTACTATTTTACAGAAATGTATGTGTTGTGTCCCTTTTTGTGATTGTTCTTGTCTAGTGAAATGTTCATGTGAAGCAGTAACTTTTCAAATTGTTCTTGGCTAGTGAAGCAGTACACAGTTTAAAGAAATTCAATTACTAACATATCCCAGTCTATCGACAATTGAATTACAATGCAAATATAGCACATGAAACAACAATGAATAATAACTGACCTCACCATTTTCATGATCATAATCTACCATGCCATGGCTATAGCATACAAAACAATACTGTACAGTTAGATTAACATATTTCATTCAAAAACACAAATGAAACAAGATATACACTTTCACCAAAATGTGTAAGCATACATACTGAGTTACTGCCAAACATAAGACATAAAAAGCAACAGCTTCTTCTGTGGGAAGGAGTCATTTTTATCCTTAAGTGAAAAGGTTCTTGTCTCTAAAAACCACTCGGCCCAGGCAATGAGCCTTCTTGATCGCCCATACATACATACACAGTGTATTAAACATGTCTAAAATAGTCTTTAAATAACAAGATCCAATTATTAATAACTTAGATTGAGAGGGGGCCGCGCGAACGCAGGCCCCCACAGCAACAAATTATGATGTAGGTTCCACCACTTGGGTAGACCTTAGGCTAGCACCTCTCCTAAGTGCAATGGAGATCGCTTGCCTAGGCCATGGACCTACATGATCATCCATTGACCCCATCCAGGTAAGTATGTAGCAATGTATCACTCACTTCTCTTTTATACCTCACTTTCCGTACTATTCACTCTAACAATTCGGATGCGGGACTTAGATAACATTGTAGTATTGATTCATCCTAAAGAGTAATATAATAAAAGATCATTGCAGTGCTGGAGTTTTATGAACACAGTCTATATTCACTTAGTGGATCAATCGTTAATACACCAACTCACATTTGCCACCTCCATTAGGATCAAATTGATAAAGTATTTATAACCATGTTGCGGTTGTGAAATCTCTCAAGTGAACATATGAAATCTTTGTTCCATGATCTCCTCATTTTCCCTCCCTCTATATGTTTTTTAGAACCGTTATTAATCTGTATAACTATGTTCTCATAGTGAAATTAACCGAGATCAAATCTTACCATTCTTATCCAACGTTTTATCCAATCACTCGATTTCACTTGGAGTATAAAAAAAGCAACAACTTTACTGGTTATATTAAGGGGAAATATCAAAGGTGTCTCTTCTATTATTCGATTTTTTGTCTAACGTTGCAGCATCTGCTAAATGATCTTCAAAAGCCATCATATAAAAGTTCTCAATCTTGTGTTCTCACTTCTTCTAAAGTGACAATGAATCAGTTTTCATTACAAATTTCAATTCAGAATAGTCAAAAATATTAAGAATATAGAGATAATAAACTTGAACTAAAATAGCAGAGCCCTCTTCCAAATACTAGCGGCTGCCGCTAATTGTGACGTTGACATGGTATTCTTTAGTAAAAGACGAAAGAATAGTTCGCTAATTGTGAAGGACGAGTCCAGGATAAGCTTATGACTGTATAAGTCCTAACCCAAAGCTAATCTAACATGTTTATACCATATAGTGTCCTACAACATTCGTACAAACATCGACTTGAAAAGATATTTTGTCCTACTGACAACAATCAGCACAAAGACCATGGCTTCACAAATTTTAATAACTAAAGTATCCCAATCTAGCGATAATTGAATTTCAACACAAATATAGCACATGAATAAGAACTCACCTTGCAACAGAGGAGCTGTATTGAGCTAAACAATCTATTCCATCTTTTATTTAAGTAAGTATTTACACACCTTGCCATTCCTGATCAAAATCTACCATGGCTTATAGCATACAAAAGAATCATGTGGAAGACAAAGAGACTTAACCGTAGGGTGCTAATGAGAGTCAAGAAGTTGTGATTATTCTATTTGTGTAAAGCCAAGTCTACTTAGAGATTTGATTGGTATTTTCAAAGCCCGGCAAACTTTCACTCTTATTTTCTCATTTCTAAAATGACAAGGAAACTGAAAAAAGTTAAGGATAAAATATCAAAGCTATAAGCCACAAATTTCAGCAGCATGCGAAATTATACCTCCCATGCTTTTGTCCTGTTAATTGTTAGCATGGGAAATGAACAGAGCAAGTAGCAATCAGATAAGAAATCATTATCATCTATAAATCAAACCAACAATGGTCTATAAAGTTATGCAATCATCTCAAGACTAACACATTTGCACAAACATACAGATACATAAAAAATATAAAGTAATCAATTCTCACTAGGAATAGGAAATGGTAATGACCATTTTATCTTTGACAGCAACCCGATTTTCCCAAAGAAACTAACAAAATGAATCTCCATATCTCTCATCTTCATTATCACCCATGTGTTGCTGAACATGCTTGAAGAACTCCACCAATGTTTTTTTTTCCTTAAGCAGCGCATTAACCAAACTCTAGTTAGCAGCGTACATGAGACTCTCATCGATATTCTGCTAAGGCTTGTGTGCCTAAAAAATAAAGTGTGATGTGGTCAGTACGTAGTTGACAACTAGCTCACTAACAAGCTATTCACAGCTCTATTGAAAGTGAACGCAAATCAGTGTAAAAATCATCATTGTTTAGATATGCACCATCAGTTAATTTAACCAAGGCAGAACTGAGTTCTGAGCTGAAAAAATGTTGTTAAATAAAAGTAGAGTTTCAACAAAAACTATTACATTACTCCCACATTGTTGATGTGTAGAAAATATTCAAGACTTATATACTTGAACCTAAGCATGAAATAGCACGACCTTACTTGAACAGGATCTGTTCTATAGGCTCGTACTACTGTGTCCTTGATTTCAAAGGAGACAGGAACATAAGTCTGGTGGATGAAGCAAGACCGTGTGATCAGAGCGTGATTAACGGCCAAGATGAACTGCATGCTGGGGTCATCATCTTAGCTTTGGATGATCGTTCCTGGTTGGTTCCCCCAACTGGGGTGGTCACACGGTGCTCTGACAGACCCAAAATCTATTTTTTATCATTACCCAAAACGGAAAAGGTGCTCTGACAGACCCAAAATCTATTTGGAAAAAAATTTGATTTTTCAGAAAGAGATGACATTGTTTACCTTGCTTGGTTCAGAGAGAGTAGATGTAAGCTTGTTGTTGTATTTGCCATATGGTGTTGATCAAGTCCACAAATCTTTGCAAGTGGAAATATAGAGCTAGGGTTCTTCTTCCCTCTCCCAAAGATAACACTTGCTTGGTTTACTCCTTCACAAGGATATCATAGAGACTCAACCACCATATCAAGATCATAATGCACTACACATTAACGGAGGAGGCAAACCGAAACGTTTCGTGTGTTTTTTCTTCTTTCATTTTTTTGTTTTTGTTTTTGGTTTGGTAAAGTAATTTGTTTTTGTTCCAAGAAAAAAGTGCTTTATTTTTTTTTATGTCAAATACAATATGAATGGTTGGATGACACGATGATAAGGGGAACTTCAACACATAATAGTGCATTCTCAATATTCTATATAACTAGAATGAATTTGTTGCACAATTACATGTCTCTATTAAATTATTGTTCCTCAAGTTTGAATTTATTCTTCAATTTATTAACATTTACATAATTATAAAAATACGTTAATAATATGCACAAATTTTTAAGTATTGAACTGTACTTATAATAAATTGTACAATTGATAATCTAATCTCAATTATATAAAACAACAGCAAAATAAATATTTAAATTATTTTATATTTTAAAATAATATATTTTAATTGTATAAAAGAAAATAACTAAAAAAAACTAGTTTCTAATTAATTTTGTAAATTAATTAGTAAGATAAATAAAATGTGATTAAAATAAAAGTAATTTTTATTGTAAAAAATAAATAAACTATATCAAAATATAAATCTAATATTTTTACAATATTTTCTGATTTTTTAATATTAAATAAAATATTTAAGAAAACAAATAAATGAAAAATGAAAAGAAAAAAAAAGAAATAAAATGGGCCAGGGGTGTGAATAGTCAGCAGGGGAGGCAAAAATAAGCAAAAAATACTGGGCCCAACAAGAGGAGCCCAACGCTCCAAACAAATGACAAAAATATGGGAAAATGTGAGAAAATCAAGCAAAAGGGTACCACTGGGGCTCGAACCCAGGTCCCAAAGGTTAGCAGGTGTGCGCTTTACCACTAGGGTGGATATACATCCGTTAATATAAGCAAAACAACAAATACATAACATCAACCCAGTCTTGAAAATGACTTCATCTTCAACCTCCATCCAAAGGACCATGTAAATAACTTAAGCTAACAATAAAAAATGAAAGAGAATTTCTCTGTCCCTAATTCAAAACCTAAAAATTTTAGAAAACTTCAACTCTAAAATTCTCTAAGCTCAGGCCATATAAATGCAAACTATGGATATGTATAGTTTCGTGGCAAAGTTATCTACATTTTATCTTCACAAATAAAGACCTAACAATGCCTAAATAATGAGATGAAAAGTCATAAAATTCACCTTGCAGCTGGAGATCGTGTTTGGAGTTAGAGCTACTTTCAAAGTGTTTTGATGATTGGGTGAGCTTCCTTGCACCTCCAAGAAGCTATTGCAAAACTTACTTTGTGCTGAGAGTTCTTGAATCAAGCTGAAGAAGTCAATGTGCAATGTCCTATTTTTGAAAATGGAGAATGGTGTAAATGGTATTACAGTTTGAAAACAGGGGTTGGGATAGTTTCTGTATGTGTATTAGAAGCTTTATGGATGGTTTGGCCAAGAAACGCACGAGGGGATTTGGAGGTTGGATTCAAAAATCAGAAATGACAAGTTTTTCTACTTGTATGGCAATTTATGATTTTGGGGAGTTTGAGGACTTGTTCAATCGTGTCTTAGCTTGAAATACACTTGTATCATTATATGGAAAAGGTTAGAGGACTTGAGGAGGTCAGAAAACAAAGATCACAAGTTATGAGTTTTTGACTAGTTTTTAAAGTTAACTTGAAAAACATGGTTTCAATGCAAGGTATATGTCTTGTAGGGTGGATTGTAACTTTAAAAATGTTTGTTCTGAGTTTATAGAGCATGCTTGTGCAGAAATAACAGGTGCAAAGCTCCATACAAGTTGACTTTGTGATTAAAGTCACTTTTCCAAAATGGAAGTGTGAATTTTGTTCCATTAATGGAAAATTTACTTGGACAAAGCTTGAATCAAGTGGATAATAGCTCAAAAGCAAGTGTAATCTTCTGATTATGGATAGATCTTGAGGTTTAGAGGCCTGCAAAACAAGATTGTGCAACATAGGTTTGAAATTGAATTCTTGTTCATCACAAAATGACTTGTAATACAAGTGTGAAAACCCTAACTTCATCTCTTTGATTCTCCATACTCAAGAATGATCTCAAGGAGTTATTGGACATTTTGGAAAGCTTGTAATATGATATACAACCCCTATTTGAATAACTTTTGAAAATTCCCCTTGGAACTATATGAAAAAGTGCCAAGAAGTTAGGTCAAAATCCTGAGCAAAACTAGGGCAAAATTTCACTGTGTGTCCAATTTCAAGACCATGACTTTATGAATTAATAACTTAAGATCCAAGAATTTTTAGGAGAAGTTGTGTAAATAAGTGTTATAGATATCATATATATCTACAACTTTCATGTTGAAAGTTTCTTCTGAATCCTCTTGCATCATGATGAAAAATTGGCCCAAAGTTAAGAAAAAACATGAAGTTTAAACACTTAGAAAAATTTCTAAGTTAGAAAACTTTGACTTTTCAAAATGAAATCTTGACTTTTTGGTTTCTTGATGAATAAGTTTCATGTTTTGACATGTTTTGATGAATTATGATCTTTGACATTGAATTTTGACCAAAAAGTCAAAGTTTGACTTTTCAGTGTACAGTTGATTTTTTGATCAGTTGACTGAAAATTCACTATCAGTCCAATTGATCTTGAGCAATGTTTTAGGTCATGCCATTAGGTTAAAATGATGCAATTGAACTCTTGAAATCATGCTTAAAACCAATTGACCATTTTCTAGGTTAAAAATCAGAAATTGCCCTTTCTCAATCAAAACCCTAATTTTGACCATTTTGCCCTTTTGATGATTTGATCAAATTTCTTGGGGAAATGTGGTTCAAACTTGATAAAATGATACATATGAGTTTATAATGTTGATGTGGATAAAAAATTATGAAATTTTACTGTAAATTGGCCATAGTTGACTTTTTTCCCAATACAACTGATTTTTAGGTCAACTGCTCAATTGACTGAGCAACAGTGTGATCCAAGGCTTGAAACTTGACATGAGAAATCTTGGGGGTCCATAATGATCCATGAAAGTAATTTGAAGCATTGAAAGTTCAATTATCCTTGTGCAATCTCAAACCCTAATTTTGGTCATCAGTGCTTAAGGAGATGTCTTGAGCTGATCAATCCTAGTGCAGTCTTGAACCAAGAGAGATCCTTGTGAGAAAATATTTGATAAATGAGAGGGAAAATTTTGGAGTACAACAGTTGGAAATGGAAAAGTGCATAACACTTTGGGAGAATTACTTCACACCAAACCGCTCCTTACTGGCTGTTTGAAAGTATCGGTTGACATTGCTTTGGACAAGGATGCGTTATTAGCATATCCTGACGATATTTCGGATGCCACACTGGTGGGAGATGCAATAGGTTCGTTTGTTGCATGGACGTCAAGCCTCATTAGTGTAGATGATGAGGTATGCTTAAAACCATATATATGAACCTTTGAGTATTCAAAGTTTTTACGCGCATTTTACGTACATTTGTTTTTACATGGTTATGTTAATTAGACTCCAATAAAATCCAAAGCAAAAGACAAGGGGATTCTGCGGAAAACCGAGTCAGTTGCATCAATAAAAGAGGTACATCACAATTATATGATATCTATGCATGAAAAATGTTAATTTGTGATCTTATACTTCACATAACTAATTATATGATCTTTAGATTCATGCTAAAGAGAATGAAGATGTTGGTAGGGGTAAGAATCCTGAAATTAGCAACATTTCCACACAAAAAAAGGTTGTTGCTACGAAAACCGCGGCTAAAAAAAACCTACTTCCAAGTTTAGGTCGTGCCTTGGGACATTTTTAGAAATGTCTGATATTCAGGAAGACAATACTCGTCTTCTACCTATGGAGTTTGGTATTTTTGGTTTTGAATATTCCGACACAATTGGTACGAAGGATTTTGATCAAGTTTTAAAACATACACAATTAGGCCTTGGTGTTGTTAATACATACATAAGGTATATTCGATCTACTTTTTCTAATTAATTGATCAATTCATTTACTCATTTCAAATGTTAACGAGGTCTTTTATTTAAGGTTTTTATATGAAAAATTGATGCGCCCGAGTGGATTGGAGCAAAGATTCGCTTTCTTATCTCCTTACAATACCAACTTAGGGTTAATCATGCATAAACCAGATGAAGTCATGGCGTATGTACTCGAGCGCTTTATGGCCGACAAAGATACCGAAAAGTTGTTCTTTTTACCACTTAATATCGGCAATGGGTTAGATTTTCATTCTAAATTTATCTATTATAATTTTTCATATTTTGACGTTGTGTAGAAAGTTTTCATCTCACATTTGTTTAATCTTACAGTGGATATTGGTTATTGGTCACGATTAATCCTATCAGAGAAGTTGTATATTATCTGGATTCTTTACGCAATGATCCAAGTACATACCAAGATATGAAGAATATGGTTGATACGTAAGTGAGATTGTTCTAAATATTCGTGTGTATATTTATTTATTTATTTGTGTGAATTGTTATAAATATGCGTTTATGTTTTATTAGCATTATACAAGTTTTTCGAGCACAAAGAGGTATATTAATTAATTATCACAATTTTTATTATACTAATAGTGATGATACTTGATAAAACTTAGGCCTTATTCATATTTTCTTTTCATGTGTAGTGTCTTCAGCAGCGTAATGAAGTAGATTGCGATTTTTACATGTTGAAGTTTATGAGAGAAATCCTTCTTTTGGATCGAATAGAGATTCCATCTAAGGTATGGATTTCTAACTTAGGAGCGCTTTTAATATTTAACACATATTTCTCATATAATTAAATAGTTTTAACTTAAACATATATTATGTTATATTATTATGTAGTACTTTGATGAA